ATTTTAATGCTTTTTGGATAAAATTGATCCGAGTTTTTAACATTGAAATGTAAAATTTGACAATTATTTTTATACCCTTGCAGGGTATTATAATTTCAGTCAGAAGTTTGCAACGCAGTAAAGGAGACATTTCCGACCCTATAAAGTATATGTATATATTCTTGATCAGCATCAACAGCCGTGTCGATCTAGCCATGTCCGTTTGTCCGTCCGTCTGTCCGTTTGCGTAGAAACTAGTCCCTCAGTTTTAAAGCTTTCTGTATGAAACTTTGCATATAGTCTTCTGAATACTCTCACTGCTATATATGTCGGTTTGGACAACTATATCATATACATAGCTGCCATAGAAATCAAAAAATTTAAAGAAAATAATTATAGCTTGGCTATTTTTTAAGATATTTCGATTGTTTTTTGAGATATGGCCATTTTATATTATCTGAAAATTTCTGTTTTAATTTTATGAAAATCGGACGACTATATATTATAGCAGCCATAGGAACTATCGGGAAATTAATAAAAAATATTATAACTTCGTTGATTTTTAACTTATTTTTATCTTCTTTGAGCTTTGATATGAGCTTTTTTTTCTATTTCTTTTTTTTTACTATTTCAGAATTTTGGTTTTAATTTTATGAAAATCGGACTCCTATATTATATAGGTGCCATTGAAACGATCAGTAGAAGTACAGAAAAATTTAAAGCTGTGAGTTTAAAACTGTAACTGTCAAACTGTAAATATAATAGGTATAGGTAAAATGTAATGAAACTTTAGCATTTAAATGTATAATGTTTATGATATTATATATTTAAATCTAAAATATAGTTTTTTTATACCATTAAACTTTAATTTTTTTTTGAATTGTATCAAAACTAAATTATTCTATGCTATGTATAAATATACAACTTTATTTATTTTCTAATATAGTTTGTTTTTGTTAGCATCGACCTGTATTTGTTTAGCATTGCAATTACGAATGCAATTTCCTAGTATATTTTTCTATTAAATTGACCAGAATGGATCGATTTTTAATGATTCAAAGTGCAAGGGTATACAAACATCGGCGTGCCGAAGTTAGCTTTCTTTCTTGCTATTATCTAGTATAAGTTCGAAAACTAAAAACAAAGTCGACGTTTTTTTTATTATTATATTAGACCATTTCCCATTAGTATATGTACAACTCTTTATTTGAATCGTTATTATCGACGTCACTCTATGGCTACCCTTCTCTTTCTGCATCGCTCTCAACTTTTTTTGCGCTGTAGTTTTTTTATAAACCGATTTTTTGATTTTTGCCTGTGCTATTAAGCTCACCTGATGTTTCCAGTGGTGACTGTATATCCGGGGTTGTCTGTAGAGAAATATCTGAGTGGGTTGAACCGTCATGACGGTTCTTTACCGAAGGCGAAACCGAAGAGAATGTGTCTAATATATTTTTCAAGGGACTAAAGTTTCTGATGTATGTATGTCTTCGACCTTAATTTCAAAACTGTTGAACATGAGTGTTGCCGGTGCTGAGAGTGGCTTCGATTTTTCAATCGTAAGGTCATCTATATTTGGGTGCGCTATTTCCATGTTTTCAATTTCTCCATTGGCGTGGGGCCAGTATTGTGAACCCAATCCTCAAAAGCAGAATAACCTTTAAACTACTTACTTATGTAAACTGTATTTTATTATTCGTCGTTAATATTCTGGGACCTACCATACACCCTTGCAAATGATTTTTCCGTTTGGTCGAGCAATACATTTAATTGACTTGGGGAATTACTGTTTGAATGCCTCGTAACATAATTTTTCCACCATTGGCAAGCTCTTAATGAGGGGTAATACATTCGGATTAAGAAAAGTCGTTAATTCGAATATTTCGGTAGCAGAATTTTGACATAGCCTTGATAACGAGTCGCGGTGTTTTCGTATCTTTCAATGTTTTTGGGCTTGCATCTGCAATTAGACATGTATTGTCCTGTAAGTTAAAGTATGACAGCATCGAAGATGTGGCAATCTTGGATTTAAATCTCTTGAATGCTTCGTCCTGCTCGACATTCCAAACAAATATTTCATGGCTCTTTAAAGACTAAGATCTGGAAAGAATGTTTCCACAACACCACCTGATTTTTAAGGGTGCATTTCTTAGATGCGCTTACCTCCTTCTAGCGCCGTTAAGTGCTAGCCAATGATGGAGCAGGCGTTCTGGTGTCTTCTGTTCCCCCGATTCCTTGCAGATCCAGCAGCTTGCGTTATAGGGCAGCCCAATCTTCATATAAGCTCATATCTCAGAGTAGATGAAAATACGTTGAAAAAGAACGTAGTTATATTTTTTTTCTATTAATTTCCCGATGGTTCCTATGGCAGCTATAAAATATAGTCGTCCGATTTTCAAACAATTAAAACCGAAATTCTGAAAAAATATCTAGATTGGCTTTTGACAAGTCTGATAGACTTGCATGCCAAACAACTGGTTAAAAACAACAAAAAGATCTATTGCCGATTTTCGGGGTTTGCTTTTGCCTTTACATCGAAGCTTATGATTCCCAACGGGTTCAAGCTTAGATTGAAGGTAAAGTACAAAGAAAATTAGCAATAGCTAGCCAGTGGTCTGATGAGTTGGGTAGCGCCAACGAAACGATCGTCACCACAGCTGCTACTTGTCTATTGACAAGTTCTTTTTGTTGTTTTTAGCTACAGTCGCGCCTTTGATTTTTATAAAATCGATGCTGACTGTGACCTCAAGTTTGCAATTACGAATGCTAACAAATTACAGGTCAATGCTACAAAACAAACAATCTCAAAAATGATAAAAATATGTTGAAAAACAGTCAAGTTATAATTTTTGTTCTAAATCATTTCTATGGCAGCTTTATGATATTGTCTGATCCGGCCCGTTCCGACATATATAGTAGACTTCTGCATGAGTGTACTCATTTGTAGCATAACAGATATGTACAGTAGTGTAGAGTTCTTAAAAATACTGCACCCATTCTTTACTGTACAGTATACTCTATAGGCCAGAAGAAGATAGCACAACATTTTTAGTGTGCCCACTTTGCGTGAGTGCAGTATATGGTTGTACTCTTCGGGAGTGAGTACTATATTTGACATTTTTTTCACAGCTGTACAGCTTGTTAGTTGTCAGTGTACAACTGTGCAGATGAGTTCAGCATTTTTTAATAAAATCAAAAATGGATTGCAAAGAAAACGACGCTCGTGAAATGAACTCACAAGATAATGTAAGTTTTCGTCATAATATTTATGTTTTGTAACAATGTATATGTGTTGTTTTATATGTTTGTGATTGTCTTTTGTATGTTTATTTAGTGCCAGAGCCCCAGGCAAAAACAGTGATTGTTAAATATATGTATGTATTTGTATGTTCATTTGTAGTATAAATATCAGCTCCCGCGAGCAGTGCAGCATCGGAAAGGGCATTTTCTGTTGCCAAAAATTTAATTTGCGAAAAACGTTCAAAAATTGCCACCACTGAAGACATGGTACATAAAATAATGTTTCTCCATTCGAATATTAATAATTTAAATGTAAATTCTTTAATAAAATAAAATTCTTTATAAGAAATACATAGTACACAAGAGAACTCTATATGTGTGCATGTACCAGTCATGAAGTTTCACTCACTGTACAATAAGTCAACTGCACACCAAAACACTGTACAGTGCCTGACTACTGCACACCATTTTTGCTGTACTCATAAACAGCTGTACAACTATGGAATGAATGAGAACACTGTCTGTCAAAACAGAGAATACTACCCTACTCACTCACATCCAAGTATACTGTGCAGTAAAAAGTGTGTTCCCGTTTCTAGAATAAGTGATTCATCTGTCGTTTTGGATGCATTCATGCAGAAGTCTAATATATAGCAGTGAGAGTATTCAGAAGGCTGTATACAAAGTTTAATTCAAGATAGCTTTAAAACTAAAGGACTAGCTTGCGTAGAAACGGTCAGACGGACATGGCTAGATGGACTCTGCTGTTGATGCTGATCAAGAATACAAGTATATGTACTTTATAGGGTCGGAAAGGTCTCCTCCACTGCGTTGCAACCTTCTCACTGAAATAATACCCTGCAAGGGTATACAAACATGATTTTAGAAAACTTTTAATTTTTGGACTCGGAAATGTGGAACTTTCCATTTTCTACGTATAAATATACATATATCTTTTTTATATCATAGCTCTTCTTAGTTTTACTTTCATTTGAACAAGATGAATCGATTCTTAATGATCCAATTGAAACTGCAAAAGTGTATAAACTTCAGTGTACCGAAGTTAGCTTTCTTTCATGTTGTGAAGTGAAAAGTGATCTGATTTATATAAATTTGCAAATTAGCAATTTGATTTTAATATATAATATTTTGATTTGAATGTACAAAAGCAAAGGTTCGTGAAGGGTCAAATTGCAGCGGACAAGAGTTGTGCAATCTAAACAAAAATCTTAAAAATAAAAATTATAAATTAAAAAAAAAATTCCTTAAATTCTTAATTAATTCTTAGGGATTTCTCAAGATTTTTTAGTTTAAAACTTCCTAGGTATTTTGCAAAATTTTTTTTTAATTCCCCCAATATTCCCTTAAGAGTCTTTCGTGATTTCCTGACTAACTCAGCCTGTTCCACTCAAATTCCGTGTTATTTGGCATGGAAAATTTCAGGGGACGTTAAGAGGAAAATATGAGGTTTCTCGAGGAATCTCGGAAGGATCTCGGATGGATCTCGGAGGGAATCCTTCGGCCATGGAACTGAAGGATAACGTAGTTAATGTACTTGGTGATTTAAAAACAAATGACCGCTTTGTTCCGAAAACTTAGCATGCTGAAAAAGCCTTTTGCAACAAATAGTTCTATCATAAGAGTATTCTAAGGTAGGTGGCTTGTTGTATATATAGTATAAACAAAACGTCTGTTTAAATAATTTGTGGGCCTATTTATAGATATTTTTAATTTGGATATTTTCACGTCAGCACTTTTTCATTTCACCAGAAATAGCCGTTGAGCACAGTGCGACTATAGCCAAAGCGATTTGAAACTTTTTCAATGCACTCGGTTCTTTTAATTTTCATAGTTTTAAATTGTCTATTATGGTGCTTTCAGGGTCAGACGGCAAGTGTCAGCAGCAACCATCCCAGACTACCAATGCCGCTTCATTCTATTAGCGCAGAACATATTTCCAAAGACTTTTATTATGCTATCGAAAAATCCGATAGAAGTAAAGATAAACTGCAGCGTAAACTTCTCCATTTTTTTGAAAATCTACAAAAAAATTTGACTATGTCAACCGTGCTTAGTGATTTTGGAAAAAGTGACACGAGTGCTGAAAATTATATAGTTAGGATACATGAATTATTAAAATTTTTTTACGAAGCTTCAAACGTTTTTGAAGAGTTTTCAAATGATGTCGAAAAATTTTATGAGGCATCAAAAAACTCTAGTCACGCATTATTGTTGAAACTACGCCAAGTCCCAACTGCTCAACCAAAATATGTTAAGGTTTTACTAACTAACTATTTTGCGGAAATGGAATTCTTCAACATAATGTTTTCCGAGATTGTTAACGATGCCATGGAATATACTGTTGGCACATTAACCGCCATTCAAAAAATATTTTTTTATTACGCTGAAGCTCAAAGCTTTATTCTTCATAATTGGAAATTGAAACTAAATCTAGAATGCCGCGAACTGTATGTCGATTTTTTACAGCATCATTCAGCTAAGATATTTGAGTGTGCTGCAGGACATAACCTAGAGCTTACATATGACGTGTATGCCGTGACAAAGCTTAACGTCAAATATATTATGAAACAGCTTGAATTTCGTATTCAGCGACTTTTTAATTGTTTTATATTTGGGAGCTATGCAATACAATGTACATTTCTCAATAACGCAGACCGAGATTTTGAAAATCTATTCATAAAACTGGCAGAGTTAGAGATGTATTTGGATATAAAAACAAAAACGGGCTTGGTTTCCGTATTAAGACGTCGTCGAGGACGTGATGCTGATGAATTCACTAAAGCAGATTCTATTATTGATAAGTGCCTATTAAATGACTTCCCCCGGAATCAAATATCAAATCGTCTTAAAGGATGTTTTTATAATTTTTAAGTAATGTTATATTATTATTGTTTTCTTATTTTATTATTGAATAAATATATTATAAATTTTATTGTATTAAAATAAATATATAAAACCTCACATTCAGTTTGAATATGTAGGATTGGGTGAGAACGCTTAAGTGAAGTATTAAATATAATTTTCAACCAGAAAGGAAGCTAATTTCAGAAAGCCGAACTTTTGTATATTTTTTAAGTTCTACTTTGGACCAGCTTTGCGTTAGCTGTCAAAGGCTTCGGACGTGTTATCGGCTATTAAAAAGAAAAAAGGGGAAAATACAAATTTTTCTTATGCTTTCGTGGAGTGCAGACGCGTTTTTGCATTGTAAAGAGTCTATGGACAAGTCCACCTTTGTGGCAAAAGCGACTGTGTTTTTTCTAAATCCGACTTCTAAGGACGTGGTGTCAGTGCCCCCACGTTCCGCTATTTCTGTCAATTGCGAAAACAAAGTGAAACGAAAGACAAGCCTAATAGCTGTAATAGTTCCGGGTGCCGCCCGGTTGCGGGTCGCGCGTATTCGCCACTCGGTCTCAATCGCCTTTGTGAAGCCTTCCCAAAAGGTCCCGTAGTCGGTAAAGCAAGTTCACTATGTCTGCTGAATCGGATCTTGACATCGAAAAGATTGCGGCTGAGGCCCAGAAAAAATTGAGAGAGGCGTTAAATTCCTCGATAAACCAATTTAACGCCATTTATGCCTCGACCTCTAATAATGCTCGGCCAGTAGCAACTCAAGACTCTGAGCAAGATGCTATGGCTGATGACGACGATTGGTGGACCCCACGTCCCAATAATAAACGCCGTTTAAGATCAAGCCCTTACAACTCAAGCTCGAAAATTATTAGGAATTCAAATAGCCCAAAACCAGCAGCATCTGACAATCGGTTCTCGGATCTGTCAGATATGGACACGGACGATGAAATTATGAAATCACCACAAACAGTCGGTCAAAATAGATCCAACCAAGCCAGTATCAGCACCAGCAACACCAGCAACACCACCAACACCAGCAACACCACCATCGCCAGCAACCAAGTCAGCAACACTATAACCAACAATTTAAGCAACAGCGGCAACACCTGTAACAGCAATAATAGCAATACGACTAGCTGCAATGGTAGTCCAAACCAGCCCTCAGACAACAACGAAACCCCACCGTCTCACAAACCACCACCAATTGTGGTCAAAAATTGTGAAAACTTAAACGGACTTATTAGATCCACAGATAAGGTCGTTCACCCAACCAAATATTCCATTAAATGCCACCCAGATAATTCCGTTTCGATCTTGGCTTCAGATTCAGATGCGTACAGAGCCATTACTAAATCGCTTACCTCAAAAAAGGTGCCATTTCATACCTGGCAACTTAAAGAGGAAAGGTCTTACCGCATTGTCATCCGAGGTGTGCATCACTCCATTCCGGATGAAGATATTAAGCCTTACTTCACTTGGTCATACTATCCGCTTCATCAATAGACCCAGAAGCCGGTTCGATAAAACAAAGCTCGTCAACCTAGTCTTTGTTGAATTAGAACCAGCCGCCAACAACAAAGAAATACATGAGCTTAAAACGCTTTGTCGTCAACGGATACAAGTTGAGCTTCCTTTCAAAAAGGACGTTGTCGTGCAATGCTATCGGTGCCAATCTTACAATCACACACAAAAATAACTGTCATAAGGAAGTTAACTGTGTAAGATGTGGTCAGCAACACTCCATTGAAGACTGCCAACGAGATGTACATCCAGTTAAATGCTACAACTGCGGCGGTAATCATACTGCAAGCTATAAGGGCTGTATCGTATACCAGCAGACAGTAACTCGACGCAAAACTGCTACATCCCATCGAAGAGGCATTGAGCCCTCGCTATCTTACGGGTACGTCGCCGGGGGATCTCGCCAAACACAACAGGCTAGCCCTCAGCAATTTACAAGCCAACAGCAGCTGCAACAATTCCCACTACTAGGAAGTAGGTACCGGAAGCAGAACCAACAAAGTCAACGTAGGGAAAACAACCGGCAACCCCAACAACCAATGCTGGACACAATCCCAAGGCCAGAGCAACATCCAGGAACCCAGCAACAGCAACAACCGCAACAGCAAAATCTATCCCAGCAACTCCGTAATATCCAGAATAATCAGCAATGGCAGCGGCAAGAAGAAATGTTCATGCGATCTGATGAAAAAATGTCAGTTCTCGTAACACAACTAGAAAAGATGTTCCAGATGATGATGTCAATGATGACTCTCGTCACTAGCCTTTTATCACAAAACGCGCCAGGATCTACTCAACCAAGTTCTGGACGTCTCCCAGTTTATCCAATCCAACCATGAGTCAAATTGGACTCAAAATTGGTGTGTGGAACGCCGACGGGCTGGCCAACAAAGCACTGGAGCTAGAGCTTTTTGTTCATAAACATCACATAGATATTATGTTGGTCAGCGAAACACACTTCTGCTCTCGTTCATACTACAAACTACACGGATATGACGTTCACCTATCTAACCATCCCGCCGATCGCCACCGTGGGGGCTCTGCAGTCATCATAAAGTCCTGTCTCAAACACTACCAATTTTTAACAATGGAACATCAAAGTGCTCAATGTGTCGCAGTCAAAGTCAATACGGATCAAGGTGAAATTGCTATTGCCTCTATTTATTGTCCTCCAAACTTCCAGCGCTCCTATGATGACATTAGAACACTGTTTGAGGAACTAGGACCCAAATTTCTAATTGCCGGTGATTGGAATGCACACCATCGACTTTGGGGTTGTCGAAATTCCTCTGTCAGTGGAAGAGTATTGGCAAACTATATCCTCAGCTCTCACATTCAAGTCCTTGCAACCGGAGGTCCTACCCACTACTCGTACAGCCAGCGTACGCCAACTGCAATTGATTTTGCCATATATGGGGGGATTCGCTCTGAGCTCCTATCCATCTCAGGGAGCTTGGAACTTTGTTCTGATCACATCCCATTGTTAATTGAGCTAAGAAGTGCTGCTTTCAAGGTCTCCCAAAAAACACATATTCTCCCTCGAAACGCAAATATTCCACGGTTTCAGGCAGCAATTAACCAGCTAGTAAACCTCAACATGGTCCTGAGATCCCCTGAAGACATTGATGATGCCACTGAGGTCTTTGTGCGAAACATTCACATTGCTGCCGAATCTTCAACCAGTGGACAAGGCTCAATAAACCCATCAGATCCACCTCATGCTCTTTTAAAACCTGAGGTCCTGGATTTGGTGAGGTCGAAAAGAGCCTTGCGTCGCAGATTCATGCGGTCGCAAAATCCGGCCGACAAAAGAGCATATCGTCGCGCTGAGAACGATCTAAAGAAGTTGCTGCATAAGACGAAAAATGATTATTTCTCAGATCTACTACGCAATGCAGACCCCACAAAACCGTATGGATTTAACCTCTGGAAAGCAGCAAAGTCAGTTAAACGGCAGCCCCCACGCAGAATCCCTATAAAGCGTGCTGACAACACTTGGTGCAGATCGGATGCAGATATTTCTCTGGCTTTTGCTGACGAACTAGAAGGTCGATTTCAGCCGTTTGATCTTGCTAGGAGTGAGGACGTGGAAGCAACACTGGCATTTCTTAATACTTCCTGCCCAGATGTAGAGCCCATTCGTCATGTAAGTCCGGAAGAAGTTTGTCTCCAAATTAAAAAACTGCACGTTAATAAAGCACCAGGATTTGACGGAATCGATAATAGAGTTGCCAAAGCTCTACCCAAAAAGGGCATATTATTCCTTGTGCTCCTGTTCAACTCCATGTTACGTATTTACCACTTCCCCACACAATGGAAGTGCGCAGTGATATCGATGTTACCTAAGCCAGGCAAACCGGAGAACCTTGTTACGTCTTACCGGCCAATAAGCTGGCTGCCAACATTCTCTAAAATATTCGAGAGAATATTTCTTAGCAGAATGATGGCAGTAAGAAGTGTTCAGGATGCCATTCCAGATTACCAGTTTGGCTTCCGGAATCACCATGGAACGCCAGAACAGGCTCATAGAGTAACGCAGCATATCTTAGATGCTTTTGAAAACGGTCAGTACAGCTCTGCTATCTTCCTTGACGTAAAGGAAGCCTTCGATAGAGTGTGGCACAATGGTTTGCTTTTTAAGCTAAAAACACTCCTACCAACTGCTCAATATCTCCTTCTGAAATCGTACCTGCTGGAGCGAAAATTCATGGTTGATGTGAGAGGTGAAAGATCATCCATTAGAAGCAGTCGAGCTGGAGTACCGCAAGGGAGTGTTTTGGGTCCTGTGTTATACACCCTTTACACCTCTGACTTGCCCAATCCCAGAGAACCGGGGACACTTCTTGCAACGTATGCTGATGACACAGCCTTTATCGCAAACTCAGCGTGTCGAATCGAGGCTTCTAGAAAAACGCAAAGCTTTTTGGATACATATAGCGAGTGGACGAAGAGGTGGAACATATCCATAAATGGAAATAAATCGCAACACTGCAATTTTTCCCTGAGACACAAAATCCTCCCTAGGGTCAAATTTCAGGACACGCTAATTCCTCAATCTCCTCAGGCCCAATACCTGGGATTGATCTTGGATAAGCGGCTCACGTGGAGGCAACACACCACCAAAATAGCAGCAGCATGCCGTGGAAAACTCAGAAAGCTAAACTGGATGCTAAAGTCCACCAGCAAGCTGAGCCTCAGCAACAAAGTGCTGCTATACAAAGCAATAGTTGTTCCTGCTATGACCTATTGCATCCAGATATGGGGTACTGCGTCCGACTCTAACGTTATGAAAGTGCAAAGGGTCCAAAACCGGGCGCTGCGCACAATCACAAATGCACCCTGGTTTGCTAGGAATGCAGACATCGCTAACGACCCCAAAATGCTACCAGTGAGGGAGCAGATCAACAGGCACTCAAGTCGTTACAATGAACGGCTTCTGGCCCACACCAGCCACCTAGCGGCATCATTGGCCATCCCCATGTCCAGACGAAGACTGAAGA